TTTTTTTTTTTTTAACTTCTTTACATATAAAAATGACTGATCTTCTTAATCAGTTGAGGTAAAATAAATCTTGCCTTATTTCTTAATGTGTTAGCTTTATTTGTTGAGCTGATTGACCGGCACTTGTGACGCATTTGTTTATTAACATCACAGCTAACTATTAGCTGTTGCTAATTTAAGCATGCTAACAGCTAGCACCAGTAGTCATCTACTAGCTAGTGAATTTATCAAAGCTAAAGCACAAGAATAACTCCTTGGTGTAGCTGCAGACCCAAAATAAAGATGAAAACAAGGTAAATAATCATTTGTTGACCTGAGTCATGACAACTAAAGAACTGTTTATCAGCTGTAAATAAATTTCATATATTAAATTTGCTCGTTACAGTTAATATATTAGCAGTAAACAAACAAATTAGCAGGCTACTGCTAACAGCACTAATAACTTTGCCTTTTTTAAAGGAGGGGTAGTTTGAAACAGGACTTAGTGTTAAAACTTATTTTGTGTAGAATTATTTATATTACAGAAAATGTATTATGATTTTAGCTTGTAATAAGTGTTAATTGTGTGACTGCTAATGAAGCATTATGGTCATCCATTATTTCCAGTACGTTTTTCAGCATCTTTCTTGTTGCACAAGTGTTGTGCTTTTTCAACAAATCATATCAAAACATTCAGCTCGTTCTCAAGAAGGGTGCTATGACTTTTGGCATTGCTACAACTTGAGCTTTTTGAAATATGTAGCCTTTTCTGCCACTTTTTTTCTCAAAGAAAATGAATTGAGCTCCTTTTACATCCTTCTAATCTAGATGTGTTTACATTACTACTCACATTTTGTTCTGGTTCAGCTTCTTTCAGCTTCCTTGTGCAATAAAATAAATAATATCCTGCTACTTTCAGCTGTTTTTTCAGGTTTTTTTGGTTTTGCTTTATTCTGCAAACTACATTTTTGTGCTTCTTCTAACTTTTAGCTTCTAATTTCAGCATGTTCTGCTCCTTTCAGGTTATTTCTGCGAGCTTCAACTATTTCTGCTATTTTAGCTACAGTTTAGCTGTTTTAAGATCATTTGAGCTTGTTCAGCTAATTACACATTTTTTGCACTCATTTATACTTTTTCAGCCTAATTCAACAAAAACGTGCTCTCTCCACTTCCTTCTGGTCATTTAAGCTTCTTTCAGCCTTTTCAGCTCCTTTTTTGTTGCTAATTTCAGCGTTTTTGCTATTATCCTAATTTTTGTGCTAATTTCTGCTTATTTAACCCAAATTCAGCAAATATTTGTTATTTTTGCAAGAAATGCATTTTCTCTAGTTTACATTTGTATTCTAAACTGCTCTGCACTCGGTGTAAACAGTAAGATTTTTTGGTTAATTTCTTCTGACCTATTTAATTTTTTTACTTCTTGCTTTGTTTCAGAGCCAGTTCACAACAATCATTGGACTGATGCAGGTTGCTGCTGCTGCACGGATAAGCCACTGGCGTACGGGAAAAGGCGGGAATGCCATTAAATCAGACCAAAGTGGGCCACACAAAAAGAGGCTGATGATGCTGATGTGGATTATCCTCTCCAGCTCACTCTTCCTGGTGGTGGATGGGCAGATGAAGATCTCACCAGAAACGTGAGTGTAGCTGTGACAGAAAACGCTGACAAAGAGCTTTTAATCCAGAAAGTTAAGCACTTACATATATATATATATATATATGTATGTATGTGTGTGTGTGTGTGTGTGTGTGTGTGTGTGTGTGTGCGTGCGTGCGTGCGTGCGTGCATGTATGTATGTATTTTTTTTGCTACTAAACTCTTTTTAGCTTCAATTTAATATCACATTATTTTTAATGGCATCTGTATTGTCTGACAATATGCTGCCTTTCACCTAGAAAAGCAAGCAAAGGATTATCTCCAACCCACTGCTTTGTTTACATTTTAATCAGACTGTTTCCTGCATGCACCGTGGAAGTCATGCTCTAAAGCCGTGCATGTGACGGATGAGTCAAAAGTGTTTTCCTAATTTGGCTGAGCACTCAAGATACATACTGTATGGGCCATCTGTTCACCTGTGGGGTCCAGCTAACTGCTAAACTAAGCTACAATTTCTTTACTGATGCACCAAGACTTTTAACATATACATTTATTTATTCTTAGACATTAATAGATTATTAATATGGGTTAGGAAATGGAAGCCTTTTTACGGCTATAAAATAAGTAGATGGGATGTAAAGTTTCCATAAAGCCTGTTTTTGCACACGTTACATATTTCTTTATTTGTAAGTGGTAATCTGATTACATTTTCGCCAAACTAACGTCCAAGTGGTGCCATACAGCTTCAAGGGTAATTGTGCTGTCAGTCAGCAGGCCAGTGTGAGTCAGAGTGAAACTTCTGTATGTGAGGCAGCAGAGTTTAGCAGGTCATCACGGTTCACTGAACACAAAATTCATTCCTCTGCCTGGGGGGAGATTTAGCATCAGGGCTGCTGTTTCTCTGGGAGTTAACAAGGCCAAGCCTATAACATTTTAGGTCAGATGGGTCAACCGTTTAGTCGCTGTAGAAACATCACTACTCTGCCATGAGGAACTCAAAGAAATGATAATTCACCATGCAGCACTAAAGAGAGCACATGCTCAGTTTATAGGTTTGTATTGAACCATATATAACTATAACGCATTAGCCGTGTTTCAAGAGTGTGAAAATAATGACCCTTTCCCTCTGGAGCATTCTTTCACATTTTGTGCCAGTAAAGTTCCAGCATTGTCATCTTTGAAATACTGTTAGCTGTAAATAATTATATATATTCTGTTGGGGAAAAATAACTACTAATCACTGCATTCAGGCTTGTCAGATGACTTTATTTATGGACACGGTCATGTTTATGGAAAGAGGAGATTTGTACTGCTAATGCATTAGTTGGTATAAGTAAGCTGGATATATTCATCCTTTTCTAAAAAGACATTCTTGACATACTTACCAACCAAAATGGACAAAAACAATGATTTAACAGCAGAGTCAAATATGTGTGCAATAGACTGAAATGACTTTAATATTCTGAAGAACACTGAGACTACAAGCATTTTGTTCAGCTTAATACATCGGTAAAATTTTGGTAAAATATTTACAAGTCAAAGATGTAAAGAATGCCTAAAATTGACCAGTTGGTGGCAATGCAGCGATTTTACAACAAACGATAAATACATGGTCAGAGGTCCATGCATTAACCCCCACCAACATTTATGAAAATGCTCTTCATACTTTTTTTGTTCCATCATGTTACAGAAGCAAAAAGCAACCGAGTCTAAACAATAAGTAAAATCTTCAGCAGTGCAGTGGTATTTATTAGGCATGCACAATATTATTGGCATATCGGTATCAGACGATATTAGCGATAAAGTTAAATATCGGACATCGGCCATTCTATCAAAATAACTCAACGAGATAAAAAGCACTGTTTATACTGTGTGTATTATATATATATATATATATATATATATATATATATATATATATATATATATATATAATGCACTGTTTTTGTATCACTGAGTGTTGTCATTGCTTTAGAGAGAGTACATGTCATGAATAAATTTGACATTAGACATAATCCAAGTTGAAGTGTTACATAATTTTCAGCCCATTTTTGGCATCTGCATTTGGTAGCAGGACAAATTGACAAAGACCATGCAGAATAACTTAGTATTTTAATTCCACAGCAGAGAAAGCTATGTAGTCTCTGTAAGTAGGTCTAGGGAAAAAATATAGGAATTGATATCGGTTATTGGCCAAATAAGTTTTAACATAATGGCATATTGAATATCGGCCAAAAATCCAATATTGTGCATCTCTAGTATTTATTTACATTTCTGTTTAGAAGTGAACACACTCATATTTTGCTTTGAACACATCAACAAGTCAACAGTCAGCAGTCAGTCTTTGGCACTGATGCTGGTGTGCAGCCTGGTAGATCCCTGCCAACATATTAACAGGGCGCTGGCTGACTCCCCATAGGTTGAGCCATCTGTCACATCCTGTCTACTCTTTCACCTCAGTTGCATTCACATGGAGGATTTGTAGAATTACGGCATGTTTTAGAGCACAGAAGAACTCCTCGGCCTGGCAGACAGTTCGTCCTTTTCCACTGTCACGCACTAATTGGTTTTAATCGTTATTTGGTGAATGCAAAGAAACCTTTTAATATGATTGACAGCACATATTTAACTTTTTTTTTACTCTCCTGCTCACCCAAGAGCTCATGGGTCATTTTGACCCAAGGGCAGCAGGAGGGTAAAATATTTACTACCTTGCATTTTTCAATCAAGATGCAAGAAATTTTTACTGACAAAACAGGATTCTCTTTTTCTTTTTTTGGAATCAGTACATTTTAATTACTGGGATTTAAATTCTGGTATGCCACTAATATTTTTGAGTTGTCTTTTTTTAATCAAAGAATGTGCAAATTAATGTTTGTGCTTGTTTGTTTTTAGGTCACAAATGGTTTTATTGTGTGAATGTTTATCATTTGTGATCAATTTTTCTTATGTTTTTCAACATCTTTCTTGTTCCACAATTTTTTACCATTTCAACAAATCGTATAGCAAAACATTCAGCTTTTTCAGGAGAAGGGTGCTATGACTTTTGGTATTGGTGCAACTTTAGCTTTTTAAAATATTTATCCTTTTCTGCCATTTTTTTTCTCATAGAAAATGAATTGAGCTCATTTTACATCCTTCAATTCTTTAGATTTGTTTACAACCTTTTACTGCTCCTTTCACATTTTTTTTTTCTGGTTCAGCTTCTTTCAGCTTCCTTGTGCAAATGTTAAACTTTTTTCCAGCTACTTTCAGCTAATTCCAGCTGTTTTTCAACTGTTTTGCGCTCGTCAGATTATTTCTGCTAACTACAGTACAACATTTTTGTGCTTCTTTTAACTTCTTTCGGCTAATTTCAGTTTTTTATGCTCCTTTCAGCTTTTTTTTTTTTTTTTTTTACAAGTTTCAGCCTAATTTTTTATTTTTTTGCTATTTCAGCTACTCTTTGCTGTTTTATGCAAATTTAAGTTTTTTTTTTTTTAGCTAATTCCACAATTGTTTCACTCTTAAACTTTTTTCAGCCTAAATCAACAACAAAGTTCTCTCTCCCATTTCCTTATTGTAATTTAAGCTTCTTTCTGATTTTTTTAGCTGCTTTTCAGATGTTTTTTGTTTTTTTTGGCTAATTTCAGCTTTTGTTCAGATAACTTCCACCTTTTTGTGCCCTTTTCTGCATATTTTAGCCTAATTGGGCAACCATGTGTTACTTCTGCTTTCTTGTACTAATTTAAGGTTGTTCTAACTTTTCGGCTACCTTTTTAGCATTTTTTAGCTAATTTCAGTTGTTTTCAGATAAATTCAAGTTTTTTTATGGTAATTTCTGTTAATTTCAGCTTAATTAACTTCTTTATGGTAATTTCAACTTGTTATGCGCATTTCAACTTTTTTTCTGCTAATTTCAGCTTGTTCTGCTATTTCAGCTACTATTTAGCTTTTTAATGCGAATTTTAGTCTTTTCAGCTAATTCCACTTTTTTTTAATAGCTAATTTATGCTCTTTCTTCTTTCTTCTGGTAGGTTAAGCTTCTTTCTGCCTTTTCAGCTACTTTTCAGTTATTTTTTGCTAATTTCAGCCCAGGTTTTTTTTAAGCAAATTTCACAATTTCTGTGCTATTTTCTGCTTATTTAAACATTATTCAACAAAAGTGTATTCTTTCCGCTTTCTTCTGCTAATTAAGGCTTTTTCATCCATTTCAGCATGTTATTTTTAGCTAATTTCAGCTGCTTTTCAGCAAGTTCTTCAGCAATAAGAATTCACACTGCATTTTCGCAGGAAATGAAATTTCTCTAGTTGAAGTTGTGATCATGCTAAATGCTTGATCAGATTTCTGCTGATATTAAGGTAATTTTAGCTTCTTTTAGTTGTCTGCAGCTTCAGTTTGGGATTTATTTGTGTTTTGCTTGCGTTTGATCCAGACTCCTGTTCCACCCAGTATTTGCAGCTTTGAACATTGGATTCTGTTTTCTCTGTTCAGTGTGCAGCAATGGGCTGAGAGCTTCGGAAAAGAGTTAGCTGCTTTGTCCTTCAGATACTCTGGAGCTAAACTTTTACAGAAGGTAAGAGACCACACACTTTCACACTCTAACAACACACGTGTTGTTACCCTGGCAACCTGACCCACACACAGACAAAGCAGACACAAGCCTACACAAGTTTTTATTACAGATACACTATTAGGTTAGCAGTATCTTTGCTGTTTTAATGTAAAACAATATAATGATTTACCATAAATTGACCTTTTTTCAGTGGTTACTGTAAACTAAGAACACTTCTCAAGTGTTTTCCAAAAAACTATAACCTGATGTGTTTTACATAAACAGACTATTTTTATGATGAAATCCTGGCAAGTGCAATATTTTACTGTAAATTAAATTGCATTTTGTGTATGTGTACAATTACACACTATTTCAGATTTCATAATGAGAATATTTAGTGTGTTGTGAAGAGCACATTTCACAAGTTCAGGTCATTTTAGCCAGACTTTGCTGGGATGGTTGTTATAGGAGTTATTAAGATGCATACATGTGCAGAGATGAGCAGGAGTTTTGCTCAATTTTAATTGCTTCACAGTACTTTTACATTCTGTTAAAAACAGTTTAGAATAAAATAATTAAACATCTGATTTTAGCAGCAAACTACACCTCAGCTTCATGTATGTCATGCTGAAAGAAATACAGATTTATCATTTATTTTGATGTCTCCCTTTCTGGTTTATATTATCCAATAAGAACATTACAAACTGGCACACATTTGCTGTATGACATCTGGAACAGTCTGGTGTAACCTAAATACCATGCAGATGTGTTTCTTAGTAATTAGTACTCACAATCCTTCTCTGTACGCCACCCTTCAGAACCCCTGGCAGGCCTTCTCACCATCTGTCCCACTCAGATTGTGTCTCCACCAAAACAGTTTTTCTAAATTTGTTGTAGAAAAATTGACTACAGATTTGGGTCATAAATGTAATTTTTAATCTGTGCTTCCATGAAGAATGTGAAATATTCTGACTCATTGCAAAAGTACTCATGTAAAATACTGTGTGGTGTCCGTTAGGAGTTGCATTAATACAGTGGCTATATTTACATAAAGCATGGCTGGTTGCAAAGCTTATCTTTTCATCTAACCCAGGTGTGTAAAAATAATTCAGTTACAGTAGTCCCTCGCTACTTCGTGGTTCAACTTTCGCAGACTCGCTCTTGCGCGGTTTTTCAAAGTAAGAGTGGACATGACGCACAACTGGCTGATTGGATGAGACACACGAGCAGCATGGATTGTTTATTTAAAATAAGTTATTTTAAACGATTTAGCATCTGCTGCACCTTTGTGCAGCCCACAGGTGCAGGGAGAAGCTCCCTCTGCAGCCTGTCATGATCTCCTCTCTCTGCCACCTGCGCCACGCCCACATTTCTGCTCCACGCAGAAGCAGCTTCATGAAGAGTTAACCCTTTGCTGTCCAGCTGCGCCAATCCACTTTTGTCTTCCAACTTACAATTCAAAGTATGTCACCGTAAAATCGTCATAATCACAAAATATAAGTGTTAAAAGTTATTTTTAATCATTTTAAAACTTCCATGTTCAGTTTTTACAGTGTAATTCGTCAAGAAGTCCATTTCTGCCCCATGCTGCATCACGTGCGTGAAAGGTTAATCCTTTGCTGTCCTGCTGTGCTTCTCTACAATTTTAATTTAAATACTGTAATATTTTTAATAAACAATTGTTTATTTAAAATATTACAGTATTTAAATTTAAATTGTTTATTTACACAGAAGGAGGGAGATTGGGAGTGAAACTTGAACTTATTGGGGGGGACGTTGTCCCTTAAATCCCATGATAAACGAGGGACTACTGTATTAGTTTAATCTTTGCAACAAGAAACCATTAATCATCTACCTCTGTCCAGTCAATGCTTGTTAGATTACAGAATCTTTTGTGACTTCATGATAATAAATGATTGTTGCTCCTGTTGTAAACAAGGCCCTGATGCTTGTTGGTGCTGCCATAAAGTGCTTTTTATAACTCTGTATCGTTAAAGTCCTTTCTTTAATGTATATGCTATGTTACTTTGTATTAGTATACTGTAAGACTAATTAAAAACCTAATCTGTGCAAATGAAAAGGTAATGTAGCTCACTTGTTTGGTCAAAAGTCATTGCTGAATTGCAAACGGGCTTCGACTGCTCACGTTATTTTGCAGCAATAAGCCTAACGAGAGTTAATATGTTCGTAATTGTTTATGGTATTAACCTTATAAACATGTTCATACGCTGTTGTTTATGTTGTAAAACAATTCTGTAGATGATATTTACCCTGTAAGCTCACAGAGCACCCGGAGTCTCAGACAGTCGGCTTGTTAGAAGTTTGAAACAGCAAATTCTAACTTCCTGTGCAGAGATGTGGTGCAGAGAGTTTGAACGTGATTAGAGGAAGTCATGAAATGAGCAACCTGGAAGCTGCAGCAGTCGTTAGTACAAGCTGGAAAACATGATACAAGCAAAGTGTTGTTGTTTTTTTTAACTGTACATGTAAGAATGAACAATAAGTCTTGATAGATGTTATGTTTATGAATGTGTTTGTAAGAACATATCTTCTGTAGTGCTTCATCTTATCCTAACAAAATTAAGAGAACTGAACTTGATGTTTCACTTCTCATCCGAGGAGCTCAGTTGAGAAAGTTTCTTGGGTAAAAAAGTAAAACAAAAAAAAATTAATCTTTAATAAACCCTTAATAAAACTTTTCTGTGTTTCATTCTGTTGGGGTTAGAATGTAGTCCTATGAAGCAAATTAGAGTTAGCTTTGCATATTGATAGATCTCCCTTCATTAAATAAAAGATGTTTTACCTCATACCTCTAGGCCTGTCGCGATAAAAAATAAATCAATTAATCGCTTTATCGTTTCTTCATCTCTCTCTTTCTACTGAAGACATTGGATGACAAAAAGTTCAACTCGGGTCACTGACCCCTCCGTTTCTCTTTAAAGTAAATTTTAACCGTCCAAAATCGCGTTTTTGGACGGTTAAAAGCAGCTAAGCTGAGAAGCTAAACTATGAACTAAGCTAACGGGTCAACCTCAGGAAAAAACCTCCATGTTGTCGAAGCTCCAAACTTCATGGTTGAAACTCGTGCCTTCGTGTAAAAAGTTGTTTTTCTCTGCAAAAAGAAGCTGGGAACTTGTTTACTGATTTTTTTTTTTTTTAATTAAAAGCTTTGTGTAAAAAATGCTATGCTAAAGAGCTCAAACCACACAGAGCATCCGCCATTTTGAGAACTGAAGAGAGACAGCCCATGTCACGTCAAGGGGCCTCCCTCCCATTTTTCTTAAAGAGACACGCTGCTCCCTCCCTCACTATCCATCCTTCGGTTCAAACAGTCTTTTACTGCCATCCGGTGGTCTAAAAAAGGTAATACATGCAAAACAAATTAACAAACATTAGTAATAATAATTAGTAATAACAATAATTTATACAATAATTTACACAATAATTAGTAATTATTGTCAAATGGCAAACACTATTATTGTTTCTTGCAATAATTTTGGAGACTATTAATCGCCCAGCAAAATTTGTTATTTTGACAGCATACTCATACCATTAGACCGTAATAGGTCTTTCCTATGACGAAAACAAAAAACAAAACATACCATAATAAGATGCACAGACAAGTTTTTAGAACATTAATAACTTTTAGGCCATAATTAAATGTGAGGAAATTCCTATGGTAAGATGCTAAAATAACAAAAAAAAAAAAATTTGCTCAAGTGTATTTGAATGCAGTGTCAGTAAGTCTTTCTTTTTGTTTTGAAGAAATACAAGGACGTCGAAGGCACAGTAAAGATAGAGGAAGTGAATGGTGAAGTCCTGGTTAAGAAGTTTGCAGCGGAAATGGAAGAGATGCTCCGGAGAAAAATGGAGTCTGTAAAGGTAACAATGACACGTTCCTGCTTGTTTAAGCAACAATCAGATACAAAATGCTGCATGATTAATCACAGGCAACGCTTTAGATAATATGTTTCATGGTATGTTTCTCACAGAGGATAGCAGAAGCAGCAGAAGATGCAGATCTCTCCCATGAGTACAATGAAACGCTAGAGGTACAGTACAGTCACTAAGTAAGTACCCTTACTGACAGTTTTGTCATTGTTTTTATTTTTTTCCTCTTTAGTTTGATTACTATAACTCCCTGTTGATCAACTCTGTGGATGAAGAAGGGAATCCAGTTCCCCTTGGTGGAGAATTCCCCTTGGACAAAAATGAACATTACAACAAACTGCCAGTCAACATACAACAAAGCAACATACAAGTTCCCACAAATGTTTATAACCGAGGTAAAACGAGCACAAAGCTTTCATTTACTAACTCTCTTGCTTGACTTTAAGAATAAATATATATATTGTTGTTTTCTTGTGCCTTGCTGCAGATCCAGATATTCTGAACGGGGTCTACATGTCTGAGGCTCTGGATGATGTTTTTATGGAGAACTCTCAAAAAGACCCAACTCTCACCTGGCAGTACTTCGGCAGCTCCACAGGCTTCTTCAGACTCTACCCAGGTATAACCCCAATTTTGGAAAAGTTGGGACGTTGTGTAAAATGTACATAAAAAACGTTCTCGTCTCATGTAGCATTCTGGTACTGATACTTTAGATGTTTTAAAACTCTTTTTTTTAGAGTTGGACCAGTATAGATATTTTTGGCTAATGCCAATAAACAATATATTGGCTGACAGTTTTTGAGCTTTGTCCACCCCCAATAATCTAAGTTAACAGCGAGTAGAGCGGTGCTTGTTCAGTTAGCGTCACTGTTAGCAACCATGAAGCTAAGCAAATCAGACCCACAATATATCTAGACCCACAGTAGGTTTACAAGTAGATTTACAAGTGCTTATATTGACGCACAATGGGACAATTATCACCGATACCGATAGGTCCCAAAACATCTGTATCGGACCAAAAATATCGGACCTACCGATATATCAGTCGCCTTCCCAAATTTTCATTGAGGAACATTATTCTGAAATTATTGACCAATTTTTAAACGGTTTCATGCAGAGAGATGAATCTCTGCCCATTTTTCCTTCTGAGAGATACAGCTTCTCTAAAATGCTGCTTTTATTCCCAGTTCTCTTACTGTTGCCAGTAACCTAAATCTTTGCAAAAATGATTTTCCAGCTCTTTCTTGGTAGTACTGTTTATTTTTAAAGCCTTTTGTTGCCCCAGCCCCAACTTTTTTCATGCGTTGCTGCCATGAAATTCAAAATTACCTGATTTTTTTTTTCCCCCCAAAAAATTGTAGTTCTTTAGTTTAAGCAACTGATATGTTTACTTTGTTTCATTATGAATTAAATATGGGTTTATGAGATTTGCAGTTCATTGCATTGTATTTTTATTTGCATCTTACACAACTACTGAACTTTGTAGGAATTGGGGATTTTATATTTAGTGTTTTACGTGTGCCTTAAGAACTTAGCGTTCTGTTTTATATGACGATCAGTTGAACACTGTTGGGACAGAACAAGCCGCATATGATTCCACCACTTAAGCCAAACTGTGACCCAATCTTTCAAATGTGATGATTCAGTGTGCATAACAATATGGCTGCTGGTGAATTCAACTGTTTGTGTGATTGTGAGTAAAATCTCGTGATTTTATTGTTTGTTTTCTTCAGGAATTCAGTGGATTCCAGATGAAAATGGTGTGGTCACTTTTGACTGCAGAAACAGAAACTGGTAAAGCTTCTTTCCTGTCAACCTCAGCTCTTCTTACTTATTGATGCTGTTTCTGAAGAGTTCAAAAAGCACTTTTGTTTAGTAGTGGCTCAACCTGATGTGTTGCATCTGGGTTATATTCCCTTTTACTCCATGTCACTCATTAGGCACCATTAATCTTTCTACAGATCAACACTTTTTTTTGTTTGTTTTATTTATTAATTTTTTTAGTGCATCTTGTTTTCACAAGTAGACACCAGTCTTCCTTATTTGTCATATTGATCTTGTTAAATCAGCAGCAGAGGTCGACGAGCTACTCAGCTCCATAAATTACACTTTTAGTCCTATTTCACAAATTTTTAATTACCTTCAAATGCAAGTCCGAACAGAAACTGTGTGGTTTGAAACGTATTAAAATGTCACTTAGAGCACTAAAATCACAGTCGTGGGCTTCTTTTGTATCAAACAGTGAGGAAAATTTTCTTAAAATATTCAGAAAAATATTTATTCTTGTCGCTAGACCAAAATAATATTCGACAACTGAAAATATGTATTTTTATTTTGAACATTGAACCTTATAAATCAAAAGTAAAAGACAAACTCATAACAGTATGAATACAAGACAATAAAAACACGTTAAAAAAGACAAACTTAAAATGACTGAGTTAAGAAACACAACAGCTTTAAATTTATCACTGTAAATGTCAGGTTTTGTTACTAGATAATAACAGATAGTTAATATATGTTTTTGTACATAGCTGCATGTTTGTAAAGTTTTACAGTGAAACAGACAGGTGTAAATGGACTGTACTTATATAGCGCCTTTCTATCTTATTGAGATACTCAAAGCACTTTACACTACAATCTGTGCCTCATTTACCCATTCATACAGCACTCTACTAGATCTCTACAAAACAAATTGAACAAATCATTCTAAAGAGACCAATCAGTGCTTTATCACATTCATACACTGATGGGACACACATCGGAAGCAATGAGGGGTTCAGTGTCTTGCCCAGGGACACTTCAACATGTGACTGCTGGTGGAGTCGAACCCCCAACTCTTGCATTGGAGGACGACTGCCCTAACCACTCAGCCACATCTGCCTATCTACAACAGCTCTTGTGATCAAACAAATAATTTGACTGCCTGGTCAACCAAATAGTGGACCACATTTTGAGTAACTAAATTTAAATGAATGGAGTGCCTATCATAACTCAAACTGATTGAGCCATCTGTACCATTTGGTTATAGTATGTAATTTTAAAAAAGATCCACCAGATGGCGATCTGACAGTCAGTGGTAGGTTATTTTTCCCATAGACACAGTATGTCTGTGAGCATGTCATCATGACTGTTTTCGTGTAAATTTTGAAAGGTATGAATACTTATTTTTACATATTTTGGCGATAAAGGTCTTAAATAGAATTATGACGCTTGATGCAGCACAAAAACTCCAATTATTTTTGATTTTTTTTTTTTTAAATGTGCTTGACCAAATGGTTGATTTGTCAGTTCATGGTATAGGTAGCAAATAAGCTAATGTAATTAAAAATTGTGGCTTGCTATAAAATCAACTTACTCAAACCATCTAGTTTATTTATTTCTGTAAATATGACTCTTTAAGTGTTAGCACATCATGAATATGCTGAAGGAATTTTCCTACTCCTTACTTTTCTTGCTTTATAAGTTTAACTACCGGTAAGTTACTATGATTAAAATAGAGAAAAACGTAGAAATAAGATAAGATAGAACTCATCTCAGTACTATTTTAATGAAATAATACTAGCTAGTGTACTTATACAACTAGCTCTGGTAGAAGTTGTCAATTACAGTATAATTTCATATTTTTAGCAAGTTTCACAAGAAGGACACTAAAGTGTTATGTTATTTTAAAAAAAATCATTGATTGTTGTCATCAGTCACCCAAGGAAATAAGAAATGAAGAAAAACATTTTTTTTCATAGTTTGTCATGGTGGGGTAGTTATTAAAGAGTTAAATAAGCATTTTCCCTATTTTGATTATCATCCAATGGGTATATATGGACTTACAGTGCTTAACGCTGCTGGTATGTTGTAATTTTAAATCATAAATTATGTTAAAACAGGTTCCAGAAACTCTGTGTGGTTTTCAGACAGACACTGTTGCCTTGGAAAGTGGAAATTAAGAAGCTAACCAGTTAAGATCCTGAAAGCTTCTGATCACAGCTGCTGCAGGGAAATCCCATTTATGCTAATGAGCTTAGAAAGCCAGGGGATGATAATAAAGAGATGATAGGAAGCAGGAACAGAAGAACAGAGGAACAAATAAAAGGATAAAGCTTGACACTTTGTCTGCCCCTAGACTACAGGGAAAATAAGGCACATTGTGTTCACGCCTGGTGGAAAAGATGCTCCTGCTTTCTAAATGTAAATTTATCTCTTTTCAGGTATATACAGGCAGCCACTTCTCCTAAAGATGTGATCATCGTAGTAGATGTCAGTGGCAGCATGAAGGGCCTCAGACTGACGATAGCCAAACACACCATTAATACCATCCTAGACACATTGGGAGAAAATGACTTTGTCAACATCATCGCTGTAAGTATGCATATAATTTCATAAAATAAAGAATTAACTCCTACTTGAAATATTAAAAACAGAAAGCATGCGCTCATTTAGAAACTAAAAGTTAGGTGCACTCCATTTCTTTTAGTAACTATAAAGCTCAACATTTTATTTCCTCAAAATATTTTTGCATTCAGTGTGAAACCAATGAACATTTTCTGTTCAAGTTATTATTTCTTTTTGCACAAATATTATGCAGGACATGAAAACATCTTTACATCATTTAAAGCATCTTTACAGAATAATGAATTATTTTTCAACTTCAGAAGCTCACTGTTCCTCATTTTGCCACAGAATCAGATATTGTTTGGAGTTGAATCATTCAGATAAATATCCTGTTATAAATGCAATTTTAATTCTTGACCAGATGATTTGTTGAGTTTGCTCACACATTTTCTTTTTTCTCTCTAGTACAGTGATTATGTTCGTTACCTGGAGCCCTGTTTCCAAGGCATTCTAGTCCAAGCTGATCTGGATAACAGAGAGGTAACACCCACACACACACACACAGCCAGACATACACAGGCTCACAGCTGATTAATACAATTAGCCTTTGCTGACCCATTTTGACTATAAGTGTTGGTTAAGACATGACAGTGAAAGTGTGTTATCAAAGTCTTAGTTGCATTTTTGATTACAGATTAATATGGTAAAACTTTGGTAGCATATATATATATGTATATATATATATGTATATATATATATATATATATATATATATATATATATATATGTATATATATATATAGATATGTATAGATATATATAGATATGTATATATATATACGTGTATATATATGTATATATGTATGTATATGTATATGTATATATGTATGTATATGTATATATGTATGTATATGTATATATGTATGTATATGTATATATGTATATGTGTGTGTGTTTGTGTGTGTGTGTGTGTGTGTGTGTGTGTGAGTTTGTCTGGATAATATTAAACTGAAATCTATATTATAGCATAATATTGAACAGAAATTACAGTAGTTATATATATTACAATTATTATACATCTGTGGTCTTCACTTTTCTACATCCACTTCACCTTCATCTTTTACCTCCTCATCATCATCTGAACCTGCTCTGTCCATAAAACGTCTTTTCTTTCTCACTCTCAAGTCACTTTTTTATTATGAATACACACATTGAGCATCAGTCTTCCTTGTTTGAATATACAGTACAGCATCAGTATATATATATTTTTAATTGCTGCATCCTTTTTCCTCCTCTTCGTTTGCTTTTTTATTTTTATATCTCCACACCTGCTCAGTCTGCTCAGCCTCTGTGTGTGTGTTGGTTGAATGTATGTCCCACTTTCAATCCCCTCCACATCTGTGCAGATCAGGTGAGGTCGCTGACTGTTTTTAAGCTCATCATTACTGGCAAATCATGTGACCCTCAAGCAGAAATTTGATTGGTTCAAGGGTTAAAAAGGGCAGGCTGCAGGAGAACATTACATCCTATTTGTTAAAAAAAAAAAAAAAAAAAAACAACTGTAGTATGAGTTTTTATAACTGCTTATTGTTGTTGCTGTTGTCCATTGTTGTCATCTTTCTTTGTTGAAATCAGGTCTCTCTTGTAAATGAGTCCTCGAGGCTCAATGGGATTTACCTGTATAAATAAAGGTTGATTGATTATAAATGAATCCAGATGTTGGCACATTTACTGTATGTAACCTCAAGTATGAACACCTTTGCTTCTAACTTTCTAATAAACTATTTAAGAATTATATAATCAGTATATTTCTTTCCAAACCTCTGAGAGACCAGTTGATACTTTAATCAATTAAATATTTCCAGTTTACTTATTGCATTTTAACCAGATGTGCAAACATATTCTTGACCAGGAGCTGCAGGTTAGATGTGTTATACTATAGATTTCCAGAATGTTTAATACATTTGTCAGAACTGAACCACAAAGCAAATATGCAAAAATACAGAATACTTCTCAAAATAGGATAATTTGAAATACATTAGATGCAGTTACTTTGCTCACCTTCTAGTTTAAATCATATTTACAACATGTTTAAAATATATTAAATGATACAGACATTAGCAATAAAATCCACAACAAGGTGGCCACACTTCATTGTGTGTTTGTGTGTGTGCATGTGTTAATTAATCCAGATTACCTCCTTGTGTTGTTGTAACGTTCCTTTTTTTGGTCAGTGTGCCAGAGAGAAGGGGATAATCTCTTTCTTACCTTGTGTTTTTTAATTCCCTATTTTTTTTTTCAAGGACCAATTCACCTGATTTGACCAAGAGGGTGAGTTCTGTTATAATGTGTGATTATTTATCTGTGTGTCTCCAGCACTTTAAGCTTTTGGTGGATGAAATTCATGTCAAAGGAGAGGGCAAAGTGAAAAATGCAATGAAAGAATCTTTCAAGGTCCTTAACGAGGTTTGTCCCCTCTTTTCCCCAATGTTATGAGCAAACTTGCACTTTCTGATTGCACAGAATTTGAAAATATGTTTATTTATCTGAGCAAACACTAAGTTGGTGCATGGTGTGTTCAGGCTGCTACACTGGGACAGGGCAGTCTGTGTAACCAGGTCATCATGCTGGTTACTGACGGTGCCATGGAGGACTTCAAGGATGTTTTTGAAGAGTTTAACTGGCCAGAACGACGGGTACAATGGACACAGGAAACAAAACACAAATCTGAACAAATGCAGTCGTTAGCATCATGTTTAATCACGCTGTTCTGAGTATTTAGCTTGTCACAACAAACACTTCTTAACTGTGTCCAGGTTCGGGTGTTCACATATCTCATCGGACGTGAGATGACATTTGCTGAAAATGTCAAATGGATTGCGTGCAACAACAAGGGTATATCCTTCTATTTTTGTTGCTTTTTTCTTTTTACGTTTTCAAATAATTAAACATCACTAATCTAGGAAGGAAACAGCTTTGTGGATGTGATAAAAAGAGCAACAATGACTTTAAATAAGAGTATTTTCCTGCCCTAAGTGAGATGAGAGATGCTGCAACGTGATGCAGTGTAAAGTGACATCAGCTGCTGCCCTCTTGTGACTTGCATGGTCTCGTGCAGCAGCTCAGATCAGAAAGCAATCGCTGTATCCTGCTCTAAGCAAATAAAAGCTGTGATTAATAAATTCTTATAATTAGAAAAAATACAGCATCCTCCTCTGACAGAAAGATCATGTGTGTCTGACGTTTCCTACATAGAAGAAACAGATAAGTTGTATTTTAGCCCAAACTTCCACTAAAAGTTTTTCATACAAAGTTTCTGTTTCTGTTCTGTGAGCAGGTTTATTTAGTGATTGTTTTGACACTCTTTAATAAGTTGCAAATTAAAATCTACACATATTCAAACATTTATATCTCACAGTAGTTCAGCAGCTTTTTGCCTCCGAGTAGTTTCTCTGCTTGTTTCTAAAACAGTGTACGGTAGTCCCTTGTTTATTGCGGAGGTAACATTCTGGACACCCCCACCCCCCACCACATTAAATAAAAATCATCAAAGTAATGGGGTTATATTTATTTTTGAATTTATATATGTATTTAAGGCTTTAGAAACCCTCCCCCACTCTTGTAATGTTCTAAACTCTTAAACCTACTAATTTTAACAACATACGTATATGAAGCTACTAAATTTTACTTACCAGCTTGGCAGAACATCAGCGGCTCGGTTCCACTCTGACTTGTTCCGTTTTGGTGGACCTACCCTGCCGGTTCTGGTTGGCTCTCTGGCTCAGGGTAGTGGTGGTGGGCTCCGGAAGGAGCGCCGGACCTACGGCGGCGCGTCCCTCACTCAGAAGTCCTCGTGGGCCGGCTACTAGCTCAGATTCACCAATGGGTCTGGAGGTCTGGTTCTGCTTGGGCTCTTCTCCAGTTCTGTGCAGCTCTTGAGCACCGAAGCAAATTTTTTTTGAGGGGGGTGTCCAGACCTTCGGGTGGCCGGCGCAGGACCGGTGGTCTGATTGAGCGATCTGATAGAGATGATAAAAGTCCCGGTGAGCTCTGGACATACGGCGGCACGTCCCCTGCTCAGAAGTCCTCGTGGGCCGGCTAGTAGCTCTCAGGTTTGCCAATGGGTCTGGGGGTCTGGTTCTGCTCCGGTTCTGGTCCTCTTCTCAGTGTGTTCTGTGTGGCTCTCTGTATCTGCTGGTCGCCTAAGTCACTGTAATAGACCGAACTTTTTCCAATCAGATCAAAACTTTTGCTCTACTTATTTCAGCAGAAGGCACTGGGGCTTCTGGGTGGAGCACTGTTGGCTTCTGGGAAATGTAGTCATTATGAGTGACAATACAGTTTAGGCTTATTGAGAGAAAACTACAAAATGGCGGCACCTGTCTGAAGTATTTTATTTTTTTTGTTAACTTTTTACTCTACGGTATCCCGTACTGTTCCAATCATGTGAGTAATATTAAAGTTGACAATCGTGGTGTACAATTTTTTTTTTCGTATTCAATCTTACTTTGAAAAACCACGAAAGAGCGAGTTTGCAAAAAAATCGAACCATGAAATAGCGAGGGACTACTGTAACTATTTTTCAACAATTTAGTATCTTTTACACACAAAATGTGAGAACTATTAATCAATTACTTTTACCAAATTAAGTAGAAAACATAATTTTCAGATTATATTGCTGAATGTAACCGTATGTCTTTCAGGCTACTACACACATGTATCTACACTGGCAGATGTTCAGGAAAATGTTATGGAGTACCTCCATGTCCTAAGCCGACCGATGGTGATCAACCATGACCATGATATCATCTGGACAGAGGCCTATATGGACAGTGTGGTCAGTCACTTTCCATGCTTCAGTATCATGTGAAGCTTCAGTCATTTGATTGTTTGAGGGGAGTTTATATTAATTAAACTATTTAAATGGTCCAACATTTGTGCTACTGTTCTGATTAGAACTCATATTTTCATGCGGGAGAGACACAGCTGCTTCCACCATCTGTCCACGTTTCTACTCAGATTCAAGATTCCCCACTTCTTAAACAGTTAAAAGCATTTGTTTAAAGTGTTAATACACATAAATTATGTGAATTGTAATTAGAAACATAGGATTAAAGTTTCTAACTTTTCGTAGTTTCTTCTGTAGTTACAAGCTCATCTGTTTGCCTTTTGTCCCATTGTCTTTTTTCATTCATGATTTATACCATATATTTGTTTTTCCTTCCTTTCATCTCAACTATTAGCTTCCCAATAAAGAAGAGGTAACCTTTATTTGGAGCTTAAGCTAGAATAAACAATTGACTAACTCCAAAATATTGATTAGCATTTTATTTACAGGTAAAACCTGATGACGTTTAGTAGCCTTCAGTAGTTTTTCTCCAACATAGCATGTCATGTAGCATGTCGCCTTTAGCTTGTCTTATAGCTGGAGTTAGTTGTGTTGATTTTCTTAGTTTTAACAGAAAACATCCTAAAGTTCTTATTTCTCATATATCAATGTTCAGAATCATACTGCTTAACACTGAAGTAGGCTTATTTTAGAATAATTATGTTTTTGCCGTTTTTAATGTACTTTTTCCACTTGTTTTAGTCACCTATATTTGTATTTTTGTGCATTTTTGGCATGTCTCTGGTTCAGCTGTTCAACACACAGGCACAGAGTTTGCTCCTGATGACTTCAGTAGCCATGCCAGTGTTCAGTAAAAAGGAAGAAACTGTAAGTTAGATTTTTTTTTTTTAACCTGTGTATTTGAGCCCAAAATGCCTCAAAAAGTACTTTTCTTCTCAATATTTGCCACTCTATTAAAAAAAAAGCTAGATCATTTTTTTTTTAACAGTACAACTTTGCCTGTTTTTTTAATTAAAAATCATAATTGTTTCTTATTAGCCTGCCTGTATTTCCACCTAAAACTATTGTTTAAATGTTTAAGTAACTATTAAACAATAGAGACCCCAATCTACAAGATGCTGAGAGAGGATTTGGGATAATATATTCATGCATCAACTTCAAAATGTTATCAAAATACCCTCAAAATGCATAAAAAATAAAATAAAATTCCCGGTTACAACACCAATGTTTTTGTTCTTTGCTGTTTTCAATTTAGTGGGGTAGAAATGTGTTGTACTTTAAAAAAACAAAACACTTTTCATGTTAATTTTATACAACATCTGAACTCTTTAAAATGCAGTGCTTCGTTTTTAAGTTAAATGAGCAATCTGGGGTTAAAATGAAACCACTATGAAATAAAACTTGCATATGTATAACTCACTGCTCTGAACTCTGTTACTCTGTCACTAGTTATCCCATGGGATCTTGCTCGGAGTGGTAGGAACAGACGTAGCCTTGAGAGAACTGATGAGATTAGCAACAAGATACAAGGTAAAGCCTCAACGACTTACACTGATCAGTCATAAAAGTCATCTGTTATATTTTGTATTAGAACAAATAAGCCTGGAGAGTTGGGACCAGGTTAACAGTAGTGTTCAAGTGGTTCCTTTAGAGTTATTAATTTGTGTCAGAGTTCACTGATATGCTGTATCCTCCAGTAGTGAGTGGTTTCAAAGTTGTGGCTTGTCAGTTTATAAACTCAGTTTGGACTGTGACAAACACAAGGCATTAAAGTGTCTGTGACATCCAATTATTGTAATAAATATGAATGCCTTTTTGCAAAGATAACATTAATAATGTATTGCAAAAATTTAATTGTAAACAACGCATTGCTACAGTGGCTAACAACACAGACAGTAGAGAATAATCGAATGTTTCTTTAGAATATTTTGAGTCATTATCAGAGAGTAAGTCCAAGTTCAAATACTATTGTTTCAATCAACAAGGACCAGGGAGTTCCACTTTGATGTCACTTCCTCTTTCATTTTGGTCGTGTCAAGTTCAGACACCAGTTATGAGACAAAATGTATATTATGTCTAATTTCTTAAATATTAAGATGTCTTCTTCTACTTTTTGTATTTGTAGGAAATGCATGTCACAGGCGCTTTAAGTTGCGATGAAATGTACATGTTAGATGTTCTTCACTTCTCTGTCCTTCTAGCTTGGTATCCATGGTTACGCCTTTCTCATCACCAATAATGGCTACATCCTGTCTCATCCAGAACTTCGACCTCTGGTACATACAATACAGTTTATTTGTTGCTCACATTGGACGAAACCTGCCGCTGAGAGAATATCCAATGATTTAGGTCTGCTTTGGGTTTGTGTTGTTGGTTTGTGTGTTGCAGTATAAAGAAGGACAGAAGCTCAAACCCAAACCCAACTACAACAGTGTTGATCTGGCAGAAGTGGAATGGGAAGACACTGAGGAAAAAGTGAGCACACACATTGCTGTCCTGTTTTCATTGTCAGTGTATGGAACAGTACTTACTCAGAATGGTGTCATGTTTGTAGCTGAGGACTGCTATGGTCAAAGGACAAACTGGAACAATGTTCTTAGACGTCAGATCTTCAGTGGATAAAGGAGTGAGTTGTTACCAAAATATTAGAGCACTTGTTTTTGTCATTTTTTTCCTGTTGTCTGTTTTTGTTGTCTCTCTTCCATTTTCTCTCAACTAAAACGCCTTCCAGTCGCTTTCCTGATCTTTGCTTGTCTTTTCTGTTTCTTACAGAGAAGAGTGATCTTTTTGAGAAATGATTACTTTTACACTGTTATCAACGAGACACCGTTCAGGTTTGTCTGACTGCTTGTAGCAACATTTACCAAAATTGCCTAAAAATAAAATAGGTTTTTGCCAAAACATAATAATTATTTAAGTAATGTTTGGTTAATGTGAACATTCTGTAAAGTTCCAACAGTTTTTTATTATTAGGAAGTAAATATTCTTTATTTTTTAATAGTTTAGGAATCGTGTTAAGCAGGGGATATGGACAGTATATCTTCACAGGAAATGTCTCAGTTGAGGAAGGTAAGTTGTGTTTTTTTTATTGGTTTCGTTTCAGCATCACAAACTCTTTACTGATGTTTTTTTTTTCTTGTTCTTCAGGTCTTCACGACTTATTGACTCCAGATCTGAACATAGCCAATGAGTGGTGAGTTTTTCTTACACTCTGTACTACAGTTGTTTTAGTGTATCACTTGTACATTTACACAAAATACTTAAATTCTGCATTTTATTTGCATTTTTCAGGACCTACTGTGAAACCGATCTCAACCCAGCTCATCATAAACTCTCCCAGCTGCAGGCGATTGTGAAATACCTCACAGGCAAAGAAGCAAATCTGAAATGTAAGCTCCGGCTAAATATTAAATCACTTTTCAACTCTGGACATTCAAAGAAAATCCACCATGTTCCCATGCAAATGAAAACAAAATCAGTTTTTATTTGTCTCAGCATATGTTTTTGTTTTTTGATTCAGTATTCACACTGTTGTTTTTCACATTTGTTTAGTTTGTTTTGCATTCTAACTACTTAGAATTGTTTTCCTCAGAAATACATTCTTTCCGCAGCTCTTTCAAAAACAGATTTCTGATTTTATTTAGTCACGTGTTTTTGTCTTCTTATACTTTTACCTTCCAGCAACCATTCTTCTACTTTTAGCTTTCAGCTATTGTTCTATCTTTTGATACTTTGATCATTTACCTAAACTTTACTCACTTATTAGGCCTTTAGCTACTTCTAGCTTCTAATCAGACTTTGATAGCGTTTTGAAGCTTTGAGCTAGACTTTTGATAATTTTATCTTTTTGTAAGCCTTTTTCTACTTTCACCTTCTGGTCGGCATTTTGATATTTTTTACAAGCTAGACACTTTTAGCTAATGTTTTGCTACTCTTTGCTAGCATTGTGCTATTTTTAGGGAGCACTTTGCTATTTTTAACTTTTAGCTAGTGTTGAGTTTGTGAAAATGTCGGAACACCAAAAGCAGACAAGGAGCTCCAGTACTATTTATTAAAAAAAAAAAAAACCGTCTGTCATGGCAGCAAAACTAAACTTACAAGATATTTAGATGATAAACACAGAAAATACAAAAAACACAAACTTTGCGGTATGAAAGCAATTCAGTGAACTGCTGACGTGGTGGTGGCAGACAAAATATAAAGAAAGAGCATAAGTAAAAGGAAAGTGGAAACACCTGGTTGGGGACAGGTGAGAGTGGCAGACTAACTGGAAAAACACGGAGGAAGCTAAAGGAAGTAAATGAGAAATGGCATGAGGAACACTGGGAAACAGAACAAGGCCTACACAAGTATACCAAAATAAACATAACTATGAAGTACAAAAACACAAATGCATAAAGAGCTAAACTGACAAAAAAGCCAGTAACAGAACTCAAACACAAAAATCTAATCCCAAAAGACAGAAAAATAAAGCCTAAACCAGGAAGGGAATTAGAATAAATATACACTTAAGGATATGTATAAATAGCTATGACTGCTAGTGTTTTGCTTCTAGTTTTTAGCTATCATTTGGCTGCTTTTAACAAAATATTTTGCTACTTTTGTCTTTTATCTAGTTTTTCTTCTTTTAACTTCGAGCTACCGGTAACTTTAAACTCCTTTTAGCTTTTAATTAGCGTTTCGTTCATTTAGCTTTAACAGCTCATGTTCATATTTCTCAGTAAAGTCAGTCATCGTTCAGCATCACTGCGTTTTTGCAGAAAATGTAATTTCTCTATTTTTGTCTTAATGATTTGTCACTTTTATGTTGTTGTTTTTTTCAAGGTGATGAGTTGCTGCTGCAACAAGCTCTCTTTGATGCTGTGGTTACTGCGCCAATGGAAGCTTACTGGACCGCCCTGATGCTCAACACATCTGGGTGAACAAGAACACACAAATCCTCTTGTTCAGTATACAATTTCTTACTTGATAATCTATTTTATCTACATTATTATTTTCTTTTGTCATTGTATTCTGCCTCATGTTTTTTGCCTTTTCCCAGTATGCATGATGGTATTGAGACCGCTTTTTTGGGGACCCGTTCAGGCTTGATGAGAGCCGTGAAGTACGCTGGTATTGAGAAAAGAGTTGGAAAGTAAGTATTAAAACTGCATTTTAAATCAGAAACCGTCACATTAATTTAATTGTACTGTATGTCAAAAACTAACTAAAAAAATAAAATAAAAAATGAGTGTTGACATATTTTCTGTCCTCTTATAAGTAAAAGTCCAGCTGAACTTGATCCCTGTTGTGACAGCTTTACAAACATCACACACAAGAATAGACTGTGTCCACATTTTACGTCAAACTTTTTAAATCGTTTCTCACGTCTGTTTGCTCCAGTTCTGTGTCTGACACAAATACTGCTAATGATGCTGCAAGTGTTAGGAATTTTACTTTTTTCAAACAGTGAATATACATTCACCCTGGCACAATCTACACAGCTGACAGTAAAAAAACGCAGTGAGCACAATTTACTGTATTTTTCGGACTATAAGGTGCACTTAAAATCCTTTAATTTTCTCAAAAATTGATAGTGAGCCTTATACTCAGGTGCGCCTTATATATTAATTCTGGTTGTGATTACTGACCTTGAACCAATTTTATGTGGTTATTGTGAATGTGTTGGATAAAGTTTGACTTATCTGTCTGTTTTGTTTCGCTTAATGGACCTTATAGTCCGAAAAATACGGTAAGACAGATGCACCACTGGATATCTTTTTAAGCTATCGTTTTTATACATTTGTATAAAAACTTCAAACAAAAATGCTGAATTATCCTAACCATGCTGTAATGTAGTGAGAACATATTCAACAGAACAGCTGATCAAAATACAAAAGTCACTTTATCTCCTTTTTATTTGTTCTCGGCGCTTCTTTACGGTTATTTCTGTGTCTCACCAGGTCTTTCCTGACCTCCACAGACAAGGAGAATATGTTCACACTGGATCATTTCCCAGTGTGGTACCGCAGAGCAGCTGAGTTCCCAGCTGGACAGTTTTTGTACTACATGCCCAGACAGGACACGAGAGGTAGAGGGGCTTACCCTTTCTTGACGATCAAACATATACATTTATTTTTAAATGACAGTCACCACACTATGGTGTTAAGTTATTATTTTAGTGACGTTTAGCAAATTGAGTCAATATTCAGGGCTATCTACAGTTTGGGTCCTTACTCCTTGTGTGTTTATATAATTTGCATCAACAAAAAAGTATTTAATTTGTTATATAGCAATATTTTCATAATTTAAAAGTTTATATCTGTTTAGATAAATCATTAATTAAAATCACCATGGCGACCATCTCATCATACTAACCCCATCTTTATTTATAGTTTGTTTAAAGTTTATTTGTAGAGTTAAGATGGAGCATTAAGCTGAAGTTAAATTAAAAATAAAAGCTAAAGTGCAATCAAGCAACCATGAAGCTGCGATATATTGTTTTCAGTTTTAAAATGCCTTTTAGGCAGCAATATATAATACAACCCAGTACTTTTCAGGAATATATACATATTGGGTTTACAGCCTCAAAATACAGAAAAACCTGTACCACATATGTATCTGGTACTATTTTTATAACCTGCTAGTACATGGAAACGGGTCCTCTTCATAATACAGCCTGCTCCCCATTGGTACCTGGCACTTACTGGGTATGTACTGGGGTATGTACTTGATGTGTTCAGGTAGGAACCGAGCTCGTAACAGATAACTGGTGCAACTCATAAAGCACCTTTTTACCCTCTCCAGGTTCTGCAAAGCTCTTTAGAGATTTATTCATTCATGCACATACTTGGCATTTATTTTATTCTCACTCATACACCTATGAGCATATTTATGGGCAGTGGGGGCATTGTTTCTTGCTCAAGGACACATTTTCAGGATGCAGGGATTGGGACTCAGACCCAAATGTACCTGGGTTGCACCAGGTGTACATCCTGCAAGTACAAGGAAACAAGTTAACTTCATAGTACAGCCGGATCACCGTAGGTACATACTTACAGAATATATATCAGGTATGTACTGGGCATATTGCAGGTAACTAACAGGTTTGTACCTGCTAACAAGTCACTTCATAATAGTCTTCGTAAATACCCTGTATATACCAGGTATGTACCCTGTAGCATAACGTCACTTCATAGATAGCCCAGTCCCGGAGGGATCATGTAAATATTAAGCCTTCTTTGCTACTGCATTTTAAATTCTTGTTGCTGAGAAAAGTTACAGTACATTATTATATACAATGAAAATAAATTTGTTTTAAATATCTTATTACATCATTTGCCAGAACAGAGGACAGGGTGTGTGTGTACATCTTTCTCACAAAAATGAGATAAAGTTTGAAGGTTTAGGTGAACTAGCTGCTGTATTTTCAATAAATACTTTTAACATCTCATCATTGCTTTAAACATATGAGAAGTTGAGGTAATAATCATTGATTTTTGAGATTTTATGTGAAAGTCGTTTGTCTTGAACTTTATTAAAGTTCGAAAAAAAAGAGTTTTTATGTTTGAGGTTATGATAAAAGAAAAGTAGTGTGTTGTTTTCAGATGTATTCAGAGACTATGAAGCTGACTATAGTGGCACCATGAGTGCCGAAGAGGTGGAGGAGGATGAGGAAGAGGAGGGTAAAGAACTGCCACTTATATGTTGCATGCCTCCTCTTTTAAATTGGCTTCAGTTTACCTCTTCCCTGAATTCAAGATATATTAAATCCTTTGTTTGTTTGTTTTTTGCTCTGAAAACAATCTTTAACCTGGCTCCTGTTTTTTCCTCTCCAAGAGCATGCAGCTTAAATATAAGAAATGTTCTTCTGTCTTAGGTTGAAATGGATTAGAACCCTTATTGACCCACTGTTTTAACTTCAGTCATTTTTGTAGCTTTTGTTCCTCCATGCCATTTAAAGCTCATCTAACAAATCAAAGGTTTTAACTGCACAGTGATTTTGAAGCATACTCTGATTTTGCAGAAATCTATACACCCAGCATGTGAACTCCCATAATGCACCCGAGCAGTTCTTTGGTTATGAATATATTAGCTTTCTTAATCTGCGTTATGTAACACTTTAAATGCTAATCTGAATGGAATCTGCAGCTTGATGGCATTAAAGGCTGCAAATAGAAGCAGAGTTGAGGAGCATAAATTGCTTAAATATCCTCAGTCTGAGTCGTTCATGTTTTCAAACACATTCTGTCACCTCTGAACAGTCTGTGTCACTCTGAGCAGCTGAGTACTAATATGTACTAATTATATGGGAAATTACATTTATTGTGCATGCATTTATAATGCTCATGCATGTTTAACTCCTTTCTTTATGACCGTAATGAATAAATATTTTGAAATCATTCTAAAATGTCTGTTGCTCCATCAGCAGGAAGGATCCTGATTGCCTCCACTGCTGTCACTGTGACGGTGGGCAAAAAAAATGCCATCGCTGGAGGTAGGATGATCTTTTTTTTTCCTTTTGTACATCTCATTTCTTTTAAATCTTCTTTAGTACGCACACGCACTCGCGATTTTCACTCTGCCCCTTGAGTTTCCTTTCTGAACGCTTGTGCACATTAAAAGCACATAGTGCTACTCCAGTCGGCTTTTATGCTTCACTTTTTTCTTTAAGTTTTGTGACTTTACTTACTAAAGTCAGCAGATGTCATTTACTGGCTGACTTGCTGGTGACATTTGAATGTTTTCATATAATATTCAAAGCAAATTATGCCACCGTTGTCCCTCTCAGTCTCCACAAAGTGAACAGAAGCATTTTTCTTTCAGAGAAAAACAGTCTATTATTGGTATCCACCCCCCACCCCCCCACCACCACTCGGTGTTATCTTTCCCTGGAGCAGGATTTTGTGAACATTGTCCAGTGACAACACACAGGTCTGAGACCTCTAAAAAGAGCAGTCTGCTAAAATACCATCACACACACACACACACACACACACACACAGACTCTGTAAAAGACTCGATTTTCACATATACCGTATTTTTTGACTATAAGGTTCACTTAAAATCCTTTTTTTTCTTCTTAAAAATCGACAGTGAGCCTTATATATTAATTCTGGTTGTGCTTACTGACCTCAAACCGATTTTCTGTGGTACACGGTGCTCAAAAATCTGTCCAAATGAACTTGTTTTGCTTTATGCGCCTTATAGTCTGAAAAATATGGTAATCCACTTCCAAAGCCATCTTTGGTGGTGTTCATGTGCTGATGTGAATGCTGTGTTTTTATATGTAAATGTTATGTTCTGCGCTCATTTTTTTTGTGTGTTATTACAGCAGAAATGGGCTAAATTCAGTCCAGAAAATTGTTGGGGCTTTTATCTTTTTTGTATCTACCAGACAGCAAGAATAAAGATGTCGTAAAGTTTAGTCAGTAGCCTGTTCAGTTTGTCACTTTCTGTTTTATTTTTAAACTCTGCACTCAGTTTTACTTCTAGTTTTACTTTTTTTTTAAGTCCTGGGGCTTTGATTGCCCCACAACTATCTGAGAGTGCTGAGTCAGAATTGACACGGTTGTTTTCCAGTTTATGGTTTCTTCTGTATGACTTTTGTGAACAACACAGTACCTGTTCATCATATGTTCAGCTTTCTAAAACCATTTACATCTCAACACGTTTAGCTACCTGTAATTCAGGATGTTATGATTATAATTGATTTTTGTAACATCTATACTTATGTAAAATATTCAACTTCTATTTTTCCTCTCATTGATAGGAACATAGAAAATCCTTCAAACCCTTGAAAAACCTTGTGCTCATTGAACTCTACTTCGTTATACCTGCTTCATTTTGTAGTTTTGAGTTTGACTTCCTGTCTTTCCCACCTGTCTGTAATCAGTCACTGTGTCCTGGTTTCAGGTCTTCCATCTCTGCAGCTTTGTGTCTGACCTTCTAGATGTGTTTTTGGTTTATCTCAGCTTGTTTCCTGCTAACATTATCCTTGGACCTTTTGACATTGTAGACTGCTTGCAGAATCAGCTCTTTTGCCTGCTCCCAGTCTGTTTTGTTTTGTTTTGCAGTCTGACTAGCCTTCTGTGACCTTTGCTAAGTTTACTTGAATTTGATTTGTGGACTTTTACCTGCATTTGTCCTGCATCTGGGTCCACTTTGAGTTTTTCACCACTGTAGTCAGTTTTCCAGCAGTGGCCATGACATTTGAAAGCATGTAACAATTTTGCGTGTTATCTCAGCAATCCAACCTCCATGCATGTGGAGCGTTCACCACTGTGCTCAGAGCAGCCACTGATGCTTATTACGCCAAATCTGGACAGGGCTTAAAATAGTCCTGTCAATGTGAAAACAACTTTACAGATTTTTGCAGAGCTGCTGCCTCTCAGTGAGAAAGCTGCCTGATATAATCCATGGGCCTTTCTGGGTGTCGGCACGTTTCTAGTAGGGATGCACAATATTGGATTTTTGGCCAATTTCTGATATGCCGATATGTTAAAACTTATTCGGCCGATAACCATGCCGATACCGATATTTTATATACTTTCCTGTGCCAGAACATAGCCTCTTATTTGGGTTTATATGCTACAAAAAATGTGTAACAGCTGTAAGAGCTGGTGACATATATTCAGTAACAGCCATATGCATAGCACTTTAACTTATATTAAATGAAAAGTGTTAAATGTTATTTATTAGCATTAGTCACCTGTGATGCTGTCTCACTTGTGGAGGCTTGTTCCAGGTTCCTAGCTGCAGTGTGGGATCCTCTGCACTCCTGTGCATGACACTCACACACACAGATTAATTTTGCTATCTATGTGGCCGTTCAGTTGACTTCCATTCATTTTTCATTAATTTCTGTAGCCTAACCCTGACCTTTTACCCTAAACTTAACCATTACCAGTACATACCTAACCCTAAACTTAACACATCCTCAATTCACACCTTAGTCCTAAACCTAACCCCTAACCCACCAACGGGACTTCTATGGGGCCCGGGCTTTGGACCCCATAAGAAGCAGTTGGTCCTCACAAAGTAGCATAAACAAGGACACACACACACATTTCATCATCTTCTCTACCCTGTTAAACTTACGCATGCATCTGTCTTTTCTTTGCCTCTCTCCAGCTTTGCTGTCAGATCTGCATCCTTTTCCTTCCCATCATTCTTTGTCTCTGACTTTCTCTGACTTTTTTTTTACTCTCCTTCCGCTGTCATGTCACTCACAAACTTTCTCTGCTTCTATTCCCTCCTGTTGTAAGAAGTTGAAGCTTTTTGTGCAGAGTAATATGAGAAATCCAAAAATAGTAGCTATGTGCTTGATTGCTGGTGAAGATTCTCAGTTGATTGGTTCTTCGACATTCATGTTTGGTATGTTTTTACTGCATGTGTGCACAGAAAAATCAGAATATCCTAAACTGAATCTGAATTATGCTTTGCATCTTTAAGCATTTATGCTGTAGATGACAGCATAAGGATATTTTTGGTCTAAATAGTCCATATATAATATATAGTCCAGCAAATATAAATGGGAACTGAGTGAATTTTCTCCTGGCCACAAGGTGGCAGCATTTACTTCAACACAACATTTAATTTTGCCAGGTCTTAACACCGTGAATGTCAAACCTTCATAATATTTTAGTGGCTGATTCTTATATCACTTCCTTTAATTTAAGGCTAAGAATTTAATCTGTCAAGGAATGATTCAAAAGTAGTGACTGTACAAGATGCTTGTGTTTATGAGGATCAACTATCCCAGTAGTCACATTGACAGATTGTATGCAAATATATTTAAAATGCTCCTTACCGAGAAGCTGAGGAGAAAAGAGCAATAAGTAGGTTTAATAAAGACGGTGACAAAAATAGGGAGAGGCTGAAGAGTGAAGCAGTGAATACAGATCAAGATGAGCTGGAAGTGGGGAAAGGGACACAATAGACCAAACAGAGCAAAGGGTAAAAAGAACAAGGTAAAAAGATTAAAAAAATGATGGGAGAGGAGGTGACAAGAAGACAGATTGAGACAAGATAAGTGAGAGTGGAAGGGGAAGCGGAGAGAAGATTAGAAATACAGAAAAGTGAGAGGAAATAAAGGGCTAAGGGACTCACAAAGAACTATTATCGTGACCATTTCATGCTCTCTTTTTCCTCCTACATCTTGTATTTTTGTCATTTTTCTTTCACTCGGAACATTTTTGTCCCCTATTTGCATTCAAGTGCTAAACTTCATGAGTGTCTTATGCCATTTTTACCCAACAGCTTTTTAAAACAGAGTTGTTATAGTGTTTTAATGGTCTGGACATACACATACAAGTGTGATATGTTTTTATTCAAACCGATGCATATAGACCAGAGAAATACTTCATCTTCATATCATTGTCATATTCACAATCGTCATAATAACACAACACACTATTGGTTTTTGGGCTGTGCAGTCATAAAGGCCCTCAGTCATTATGGCTGCTGCTGCTGCAGTATTTCTGTACCAAACTATAATTTATTAGTCTTTAAACACACACAGCACAGGCTATAGGAGGAGGACTGAGCTAGCTAAGATACTTAGCTACTGACATCACAAGCAGAACAGAGAGTGAGAGGACAGTGGTTCTAGATTCTTAGACAGAGTTTAGTTTCTGTTAATCACTGATCGCTGCCTTGAAGTCTCTGAAATTTTAGATGGGTTTGCATGTTGTGGCCAACAGGTGATCAAACATCCAGGCAGGATGGAGTGAATGGAGAAAAGTTTCAGGAGGGATTTGTAACAAGAGTGCTGGCAAAGATCAAAGGAAAAGTTTACAAGACAGTGGTGAGACCAGCTATGTTGTATGGTCTAGAGACAGAGACATTGACAAAAAGACAGGAGAAAGAACTGGAAGTGGCAGAAATGAAGATGTTGAGGTTCTCATCAGGAGTGACGAGGATGGATAAGATTAAGAATGAGATCATCAGAGCACAGGTTGAACAACTGGGAGATAAAGTTAGAGAGACCAGACTGAGATGGTTTGGACATGTCCAGAGGAGGGACAGTGGGTATATTGGTGGAAGGATGTTAGAAATGCAGCTGCAAGAAAAAAGCCAAAGAAGAGATAAATGGATGCAGTTAGAGAGGACATGGAGGTAGTTGGAGTGAGGACAGAGTGAGTTGGAGGAGGATGACTCACTGTGGTGACCCCTGAAGAGGGAAAATTCAAAAGAAGACGAAGCTCAAACATCTCATGAAGAAAAAAAAAAGTTTGTTTTTTTCTGTTCTATGCCTGCTTTGTAACAGCATTCAGTACTCATGAACGCATTATATGAATTGTGATTTTTTTTTTCATTATCTCCTTATGCAAAGATTAGTATTGTAGGAGAGATAAATGAAGGTAGAAGGGATGAATTTCTCTACTCAACATTTTATTTTACATATGACCTTAACTTGCTTCTGTTTGTTTTAAGTTCTAAATCAGACCTGGCCAAGTCACTGAAGAACAAACACAAATATGTTTTAATTTGATAAAACTTTGTCATCTAAAGTTACTTATAGCTCCTCCTGCTTCTCATGTTGTTTATATGGTGTAGCCAATAATTAAAGTTCAGAAGAGAACAGGTCAGTCAGACAATAACGTGTCACATTTAAGGAGCTTAAGACATCTTCCTCTGCAGTTAAGAGGTTTTAGAGCAGAGCAGAAGCACAGCAGAGAGGGATGGAGCTGCAGTTTGTGTGCTCATTAGTTTTCTCTGAAAAATAGACCAAATTTAGCTTTAACTACAGCTTAAACATATTTTCTTGTGTAGATATTGGGGGAAATGGTTACCAGAAAAAAGTATTAAGCAAAACAAATTAAGAATCCATCCAGAGGATCTGACTTAACCTTGTTGAGTTTTCTACCTGGATTATTGAGCGTGCATCCAAATATCTTTTTGATGAAAATATTTTGACATGCTTTACATCAGGACCAAAAAGGCCACGTCTGTCTTAATAAAAATAGCTTTTTTTTCTTTCTTGATAAATGTTACCATGTATTAGCAAATTCAACGATTTATTGCAAATAGATGATGGGGGTACGATGGGGTACACGGCGTAAAATAACACAAATGAACAAAAGACCGCGTAGGTACAAGCAAATTACTGAGTGGTTCATACGACGTTTATCAACACAAACTGAGATTTAGCCAGTATGAAAGAAAAATACTTATTTTTGAAATTATAAACCAGATTTAAATTAAAATTTCAGAGACGTTCCTCATTCTAAACTCTGTCTAACCTTCTTACATGAACTTTACCAAGCACCAAACATAAATAAGTGGAAACATCAGATAATTATTACAAAGACCAAAACTGAAAATAAAACATAGATTTCATTAACACAACAGACACGTACTTAATGACTTCATACAGGGAAACAAAAGTATCTTAAACAGGTTAAGGCTGCTGGGCCAACACTTTATATTAGACTAGCATAATATTTGTCTGTATTATACTCAGATATTAGAAACAAACTATTAATATAAGTTTATTTGAAGCCAATTTAACAAATTGAGAGGAAACTCAATTCAATGTGGGTGTGAAATATGCAATGAATGCTACTTAAATCTTCAGGGACATCTTCTGTGCACCAACAAATGTTGGAGTTTATATCAATCTTTCTGGTTATAAATTAGGATGCTAATGAAAACACTTTGTAAAACAATCTTTTTTATATAAATGTAATGCCTCTCAATAAATACAGAGTGAGCATTGTTTTAATAGACATACTTTACTTTTTGTTGGTACAACTTTCATTGCATATTGCCGACTTAAAAAAAAAGGTTTAGAAGTAAGTCTGGATGAGAGAGAGATAAAAATATAAGGTCGAGTTGGACGTCTTTAAGCAGTGCGATAAACCTTCCACAAAAAGTAACCAATATAAAGATGGATAGAAAAATAAAGGGATGAGGGGGTGGATAAAATAGCAGCTTTTTTCTTTAACCCCTTCCTGTATAATCCCTCTGGGCTTTTGGTCTGTCTTTGAAAGAAACAGAAGTGGAGGAGGAGGGAGAATGAGGTCAAGGGCTTTTTTGAAACTGGAGACTAAAGTGCAGGAGTATGACATTTGTAGTCCTTGACTGGAGACGGAGTCCGCTGAGATTGTTTGTCATGCCATTGTAGCAAACCTTCACCTGCAAGGGTGAATATAAAATATCCACTTTAAATTAAAGTCTGAGGTTCTTTCAGTCCTTGTGTCGGTGTCAACACTGACCCAGAAGCATAAATGTGTCACTTTTCCTTGGTGATAGAAAGCTTCGGATCTGTCCAGACGTCGATCGTAATCATTTTACAAGCATCAAATGAGTGAAAGCTTTTTCTCTGAAGAGTACACTGAAATCACATTGCAGGTAAATGCTACTGTATTCCTCTTTTCCTGCCTGGCGAGGATCAGTCTTAGTCCACAAATGATCAGTGTCAATGCACGTCCCATGCATTTTTATAGATCATCATTGATCCAGGTTTAAGATTATAAGTTGCAGCTTTTTTTCCCCATCAACTTCCCCCATTTCTAACATACTTCTTAACATCATCCTTGGGTCTCAAGAAGAGAATCAGACAATGGAGGGATTAAAATAAAGTTTCAAGCTGGAGTTCTAGATTTCTTGAGTGACCGCTGGCTTTGGAAATGGCACAGATTTGACTACTTGGTGAACATTGGTGCAATCAACACTACACATGCTATGAATCCCTGAATTTGCAGTCTACTAATACTGACTGAACATACAGCATGAGTGTTTTAGAACAACTTTAATGATATGTTTCTCACCAGCCAGAATAATGGCAAATTCAGCTGCAGTAGGTGGCTGGTAGGCGTCTTGGAGGGATGATCGGTAACAAATACTGCAAATAGAACGGGTCCAAAATTAAAGAGTAAATCAGGGTGCAGATAAGGTGCATGTGTGGAGGAAGTGTGTTAGAGTGAGGGACAGAGAAGGAGAAGGTTAAAAATAGAAAGAGGATTGAAAAAGTGATACCAAAAATGGGGAAAGAGGTGTCAGTGTGAGAGTCAGAGGAAGAGATACTATGTATAGAAAACAAGCTTTTCAGTTTCTCTCCTCTTTGAGCCCTTTTATTATCATTGCTTTCACACTTTGACATGCTAGACTTCCCTGTCCCATACTCTCTTTATGATTCAGGCCACAGAGGAGATTTGTTTATCCTCCCTGTCATCCCCATCAGCCTCTCCATCTCCCATTAACGGCTGTCTCTTCTTCAGCTCTCTCTGGTATTTGGCCATTAGAGAAGCATAGATGCAGCCATAAGCGGCGGCAGCAACCATCATGATGCAAACAATGCCGCACACCACACCAGCAATCACCACTGTGCCAATAGCGCGCCGCACGCTCACGGGCCGGTAGCGAGCACGGACACAGTCCGAAGGTGCTTCGCCACCTCCAATGCTCGAGGGGGAGTCGTCACCAGTGTTGCCACCGTTGTCAGAAACTGGTGTTGCCCCACTTGGGTTAAGAGCACTCCTGCTGCACGGAGGACCACCTCCTTGTCCAGAATGAGCACCCTCACCACCACCTCCTTCTCTGTTCTCATCCTCAAGCTGGAGGCAGTAGTTGAACATCTCCACGGGAACGCCACGAATGTCTCTCCCACGCAGATCCTTTGGTAGCGTGCACTCCACTGCATCCACTTTACCCCCTGAAGCAGAGAGAAGAGGTCATCAATAATCTGGCTTTTACCTGTAAAGCATCACTAATTAACAGACAGTGAGAAAAAAGTCTGAGAGCAGGTGGTTATCGTTCCAACCCTACCATGAGTCATCCATCATTTAACGTGCACACTATTTGCCGTGCTCTCTGCACTAAGTTTGAGATCACCTCAATAGGCCCTTGTCTAATTCATGAGATGACAAGCCTAGCTTCAGCACAGCTCTGGTGTGGAAAAGAGAAATGACTGACTTACTAATTCCCACCATCAATATGAGGGTGGGAGCAGGCTACATGCACTTCCAAACATAGTGTACATCAGTGTAGTCTACGTGATACTCAGGTATACGGAGTAAACCCACTAGAAAGCTTATGAATTTCAGTATACCCACTTAAATGTGTTTATGTTCAACATAATGTTTTTATGCTATTAGTGCTTAGTGTATATTTAGTTTGTTTTTCTTAGTTCACATCTTAGATGTTATTGTTTTTCTGTTACATTTTATTGTTGGATGTAACTGGGACCCTGTGTACATAATTTTGCTCCACCACATGTACCACATGAGGTGCAAATGACGATAAAGAATCTCTGACTCTGACTCTTAAAAGTGCCCAATGATACATGACATATCATTAGGCACGTGTCATGGATATGTGAAACGGCAGTTAAACGCTTTTGTAACAATCTATCGGTATGCAGCACTTTGCTTTGCTTTGATACTGTTTCATAACTTTTATAACATGTTTTTAATACAAAGCCAACTGTTGTACACATTTTGTTGTTCATTTATTCAAATATAAGCATCAGAGAAATTTGGAAATGTTCAATATGCTTAAAAATCTAAATAAATTGACAATTACATTGTACTAACCGATGTACTTGGTTTCTAAGCACGGGATACCCACTACAAAAATGTAGACTACACCACTGGTGTACTTCTCAAGGTCACATCCAAAACTATTGATCTGTGTCCTCAAATGGGTCAAGTAACAAAACCACTGGGATGAAGATGGAGTATAATAGAGAGACAGAATTAGAGAAGTGTGATTTAGCATTGAAATGCTTATATCTTTACATGTTACAAAACAAATCAAGTGTGCGCACAATGCTCCTAGCCTTTTACCAAGCCTTTTCTTACTTTCTTTAAGTGCATCATACGCTTCTTTAAACGACTACTGTCATGATTTCATGTTCAAGCATGAAAGGCCTCCTTGTAATTTCCTCGGCTGCTCTGATGATTATTAAATTATCACGTCTACCGTGTGTCAGTCTCCATCTGAAGAACCGAGGGAGAGTGGAGCAAAATGAGGCAGGAAAAAAAAAGAAGAGATGCTTCATTAGGGGTGCAGCTGAGGCCCCAGGCACTAAGGTGAATGTAGATTTTTACACACGAGGAGAAAGCAGAGAGCAGCTGTAGTTATCTGATTCACTAACAGCCTGCAGAGACACGTGGATATGGCACGCAGAACAACGATGAGCAGCGATAACAGTACAGTGCAGTCGTATTATATGGCTAGAAGGATGGGCATACCCTGCATCCAGACATGCCTGTTTCTAATAATTCTGTTGGGGTTTTTTTTATACACTACTTTTCCAACAATACTTTCTCTCTAATTCAAGTGGAACAGAAAGTCCTCGTAACATAAATCAAAAGTCCACCTCGATACAGCAGCCACTCCATCCAGTGTTTGAAGTCACGAAGGTTGCAGTCGCACTCCCAGGGGTTGTGTCCCAGTTCCAGGTGTTGCAGGTTGGCCAGCGGATTGAACGCTGCCCTCTCCAAACCATGAAGCCTATTACCCGCCAGTGAGAGCCACCTTGGAAAAATAAAAACACTTTAAGGTAATCAGGCATGTTTTGGAAAAAAACATGTCCAAATGAAAGACGTATCAGAATCGCATGAGAATAATTTATTGCTTTGTGTAACAGTAGCAGTAGGTGTCATTAGGAGGGGCGTTGGTAACAAATAATTGCATTAAAAAGTATTTTGGGGTGTATGTTCACCTGAGGCTCTGCAGCTCGTCCATTAGGCCTATTGGAACTGTGGATAGACCGTTCAATGACAAGTCCAGACTCTGGAGACCACCTAAACCCTGTAGAAACATCAAAACCAGATCTTTGTTTATATAGAACTGACATTTTTCCGACCCAACAGCTTTTCTGATTATCGTAAAGAGCTGCTACTGTAGCATCGTTTAATGGGCTAATCTTGTCTAATGTGTTTTCCAAAGTGAAGTCATTGTAACATAAGCTCATCTGATTGTCTCTAGTGGTGATAAAAGTGATAAGTGCTGAGCAAATGGTTTGTTACTAATTTATCTGTAGGGGGTAGTCCAGATGTGGGAGCTAAATTTGTTCAGCTTGGTTGTATGAAGCTGAAACTATGGCAGATTATGGCTTCTTTGTATATTTACAGAATGTTTTGTACTAACTGATTTGATATGGTCTTCTGTGCCTTTCGAAGGGGACATATAACATAAATTTACCTCAAAGGGTTAGCACAGTTAGGCCTGTCGCAATAAACAATAAATCAATCAAGCATGATAAATGAAAATTATCAACTTAATTTTTATTTATCAGCTTTATTGTTTCTTCGTGTCTCTCGCTTTCTACTGAAGACACCGGATGACAAAAAGCTAAACTCCGGTGCTCTTCACTGACCCCGCCCTTTCTCTTTTCTCATTTTAACTGTCCAAAATCGAGTTTTTGGGTCATTAAAAGCAGCTAAACTGAGAAGCTCAGCTACGAGCTAAGCTAACAGGCCAACCTCGGGGGGAAAACCTCCATCTTGTCGAAGCGCCAAAATTCACAGTTGAAACCCGTGCCTTTGTGTAAAAGTTGTTTTTCTCTGCAAAAAGAACCTGAGAACTTGTTTACTGATTTTTTATTTAACGCTTTGTGTGAAAAATGCTATGCTAAAGAGCTCAAACCGCACCGAGCATCTGCCATTTTGAGAACTGAAAAAAGGAAGAAGAGACAGCCCATGTCTTATCAAAAGGTCTCCCTCCCATTTTGCTTAAAGAGACGCTGCTCGCTCCCTCACTATCCATCCTTCAGTTCAAACAGTCTTATATCGCCATCCAGTAGTCAAAAAAGATACTACATGCAAAACAAATTAACATACATTTCTTTTTAATTTTGACAATAATTACTAATTATTGTCAAATTTCAAACAATACTATCGTTTATCGTAATAAATTCTGAGACAATTAATCGCCAAGCAAAATTTGTTATCATGACAGGCCTGAGCACAATATCAATAATTGTAATGTCCCATGCCTACCTGGAAGAGGTCTCTGTCCATGACTGTCAGTGAGTTGTTGTGTAGGGTCAGTCTTGTTAAGTTGGACATGTCTTTAAATAATCCAGCTGGTAAATTATCCAGGTAGTTATTGGAAAGGTCCAACTCCTGAAAGACATGAAAACATTACTACTTTCAGCATTTTTCTTTTCAAATAACTTGTGGAATATTATAATAAAATGGTGGAAAAGTCCACTCTACTGAGCTCAACTTTCCAGATATCAGACAGAATACTTAACATATCCAATTTATTCTCCAGCTTCTATCTGAGACGTCTTGTCTCCAATTAGGTTCCATTAGAAAGGGCATTTGATTTTTCAAATACAATCACCAGAGACCAATGTATCAAGCTGAGATTCAATAATCCACCATTTGACATTTAGTAGCTGCTGCCTATTTGAAATTTTCTTGTTGCAGCATGTAGCTTGACATTACCCTGGCTATCGCACAAGCTGTGTGCAATTTTCCAGGAAATTGGAAAGTCTGAATAATACTTTCAACTAAACCTCTAGTGGAGAATCTGCATTGTTGACTTGTTATGAAGCTGCTTTTAACTATTCAATTTTTAGGTTTAATTTGGTCTTCTTTTTTTCTGCTTATGTAGTATAGGCATTACTATGTCCTGAAGATGAGCAAAAAGAGCCTTACTGTAAAGCAATCTTTGCCAAACGTCTCATCCAGTCTGTTTAAAGGCTGTTTTTCATGTGAAGTTTTAAAAACTAATCGATATAGGGAGTTGATGTGCATTTTATACTAAAAAGTTTTTTTTTATTTTGTTTTTGTTTTTTTACAGTAACTTTCAAGGAAGCCTTAAACCATCTTGCATAAACAGTGAAAAGTGCCAATGTTTTGCATCGGGTTGATATTTTTTGGAAGTTAATTCTAGTTTAATGCTTTATTTTTTTTAAATACATCCTGTTTGTTTAACTGACCAGGCGGCTTCTACAGATGTTGAACTAGAAAACTTTACCTTTTCTGACCAATATTATCTACATTTTGAGCAATATTAAACCCACCAATGGTGCTACTTTTGTTGTTAATTTTAAAGTACAGTAAGAATATTTTCTTTAATGAAGAACAAAAGGCTGCAGACCTCCAAGGAGGAGAGGTTTGCAAAGGCCGAGGCTCCCAGCGAGGCGAGTTTGTTGTTGGTCAGCATCAAGGAGCGGCTCCCGGGAGGCAGAAGGTGCAAGGGAGGGAGGGAGGAGAGTCCGCGGTCCCCGCAGTCCACCACCTGGCTTTCTGAGGAGCAGAAACAGGATGGGGGGCACGAGGAGGCTGGTAACAGCAGTGCAGCCAGGAGGCTGAGGACACGGAAGACTGCAGGAAAGAATAGGAAATGAAATGAATTATTTACTTTTGCCTGTGAAACTTTATTTTGATGATTTGCACAGCAGATTGAAAACGGTGACAGTAATAGCCCTGTTTACCTCTGAAATTATTAATTAGAAGAGATTAAGCAGAATCATGAAGTAGCAATCTTAGAATGCAAAAACAGATTTATGTTGATTTTAGAAAGATTAAAAGAAATGACGCACAAAACGCAACTCAGCTGTTACAATACACCTTCTAGAGGTGGTTTTAAGTGCTTTTTCACTCCGACTTCACAGGAAACCTTTATTTTTTTAGGGATGCACGATATTGGATTTTTTGCTGATAATACAATATGCCGATATGTTAAAACTTATTTGGCTTATAACCAATACCATTTTTTTTCTTCCCTATATCTAGTTACATATCTTTCTCTGCTGTGGAATTAAAATATTACATTATTCTGCATGGTCTTTGTCAATTTGGACTGCTACCAAATGCAGATGCCAAAAAGGGGTCTGAAAATGATGTAACACTTCAACTTGGATTATGTTTAATATCAAATTTATTCATGACATTTACTCTCTCCAACACAATGACAACACTTGAACAGTGCAAATTTGTAAATGTTCACAAATCTAAACTCAACAGCGTGTGTGATGTCATAACGCTGTGCTGGCGCTGCAGGCATCCTTGTCACTGGGTTGTCGTACAAAAACAGCACCTTATGCCGATACCAATAATATCGGCCAATATCGATACCATGCCGATAATATTGTGCATCCCTAATTTTTTTTTGTTTTGTTATGATTTTTTTATTCTACTGAATGCAATTAAAATGTTTGATTTTATTTTTGTTACTACGTAGAAGAGAAAAAAATCGTGCAAGCTTTACAAAAATAAATAATATACTCACTGACAAAGGTGATAATAGTTTTTGCCCATGTTTGTGTGTGTGTGTGTGCTTGCCTCTTGCCTTAGCAAAAATATTTCTTAAATTATTTGGAAGAATTTTAAATAAACTTTCAAAAGGCAATCATTGGATGCACTTGTACAATTGCGATTTAAAAAAAAAAAGTCATCTCCATTTCACATTTCAGCCACAGCTAGACAACCTTAGCAGAAAAATGTCCCTAACTTGGCTGTTTTTACAGATATTGAGCTAAAATCTTGTGGTAATGGAATGGTATCAGCTCACTGTCATTTATTCGAGCTCTAAGCACCAACAAATCACTCAAGTTACTGCAAGAAATTGCAATTTTGCACAAAATTATTCACAATGATGAGTTCAAAGATAATAATAATAACAATAATAATAATAATGCATTTTATTTGTTAGCGCCTTTCAAGACACCCAAGGACACTTCACAACATTAAAAACACACAAAAAAACGCAAAATCCAACAATACAAAATGGCTTTAAACACACTAAACCAAGAAAAAAATAACAAAAAATTAAAGTGAGAAGGCTAACTTGATCAGATGAGTTTTGAGTTGTGATTTGAAGGTCTGAAGGGAGTCAATATTACAGATGTCTAGGGGAAGAGCGTTCCAGAGTTAGGGAGCAGAGTGAGAAAAGGTTCTGTGTCCCATGGTGCAAGGGGGAGAAGGTAGATGATGAAAAGAAAGGGCCCCAGGACAGAGCCTTGGGGCACACCTGAAGTGACGAGGGAGGAGTGAGATCTGAATGATTTAAGTTGGATGAACTGAGTGCGGCCCGAGAGATATGACTGAAATCAAGCGAGGGGTGTATGGGTGATGCCAGTGGATGAAAGTCTGCGGAGGAAGATGTGGGAGATAGTATCAAATGCCGCACAAAGATGATCTTAAACTCTGGTTTAAAGGCAGCAAGCATTATTCATTCCTTAAAGAAATGCTAAGACTTTAATTAGTAAAAAAAAACTTTGTGACTAACAGTCTGATTTTTTTGTTCTTTATTACCTTAGAACTTCTCTTATATGCCACATTCGAAAGGAAATCCCTTCTATATTATTATATTGTTATCGTTTTCCTATAATTTCCTCTCATATTATCTGTTTATTCCTTTGTTCACATCCAACTTATTTGTTTCGACAGTTTTATTTTATCCATTGATTTCTATTTTACTGCTCTGGTGTTATTTACTTCTATAAATCCTCTATATTCTTTTATTTTTCCATTTTTCTGTGCTCCTCTGTGCAAACACTCATCAGTCTTCACTCTGCAGCTCTCTCTCTCTCTCTCTCTAGACTTTCTTTATATCTCTCATCCTCTTTCCTCTCAAGTCTCCCAGCTCTGCTCTGCTCTGTATTCCCTCAGTGTCTCGTTACACTCTCTGACTTTGTTTTCAGCCAATGGCTTATCGGCACAACTTTATCTCTCTGTGTTTGTGTGAGTGGGCACACACTTGTGCAACTGTGTATGTGTGTGCGTGACGCTTCCACAAAGCGTGACAATAAGAAAACTACTCAGTCTGAACTACACACATATAGAGATGCCACTTTTAACTTCCTGATGATGAGCCTCTGCTCCAGCAGCAGATTTAATCATTTGCATCTATTTCCTAACTTGTCACGCTGTTTCCCTAGTTGTTGTATTTTCTACCTTCTGTTGGTGCATCTGTTCTTTGCTTTGCTCTTTTTTTTTTCTTCCATTATTTTCCCTCCTCTCATTATCAAGACTTTTACTTCCTTTCAGCAGTCAAATTGGCCGTCTGGCTCTGACATGATGAAACTCTGTGAAACAGCTCATTACTGACCTGTCCACACTTCATGTAATATGACAGATGGTGGCGTGGAAGTGAAAGAAGTAAAATAAATATTATAATATTGTGTAAAACCTCAGGAAAATACTTTCTTATTTTAAGACTTGTTTTAGAATTGGTGCCTTCCTAAAATCCTTTGTTAGCTTTTGGATATTTTAAGACCGCAGAAAATTCACAAAGAAACATATTTGCATCAGTCTTGAAGCCTTTTTGCTCAGTTTCTTCTCAGATCCCATCCACCCACAACCAGAACGCTTCATTTTCTTCATTCTAGACAGAAAAGTTTGGAAATTTTAGCTTTTGCACAAAGCATACAAATATTTTCCCTATTACTCTCTTTTGTCCCATCCCACAATATCATCCTAATTTAGTGAAAACAGCTTCATTATAAACTAGGAAAAAATGCACTTCCTGCAAAAATGAATTGTGAATGCATATTACAGAAGAGCTTGCTGAAAAATAGCTGAAATTAGCTAAAAAATATTCTGAAATGTAGCTGAAATAGATGAACAAGCCTAAATTAACAGAAGAAAGCGGAAAGAACACATTTTCTGATTTAGTTTTAAATATGCAGAAATGAGCACAAAAATTAGGGAATTGGCAAAAATAGATGAAATTAGTATAAAAAAAATAGCTGAAAAGTAGCTGAAAAGTTAGAAAAAAGCTCAACTATCAGAAGGAAGTGGAAAGAGCTTAAATGAGCTAAAAAAATTGGAATTAGTGGAAAAAGCTAAAATTAGCATAAAATAGGTAAATAGTAACTGAAATAGCAGAAAAAAACTGAAACTAGCATAAAAAAATCTGATAGAAGCATAACAAGCTGAAATTAGCATAAAAAAGTTAATTAGGTTGAACCTAGCAGAAATTACCACAAAAAACTTGAATTTATCTGAAAACGGATTAAATTAGCTAAAAAATTCTAAAAACGCTAGTTGAGAAGGTAAAACAAGCTAAAATTAGTAGTAGAAAATAGAAAAAATAAATTTTGTCCTATTAGGCTGAAAGAAGCAGAAAAGAACACAAAAAATTATAATTATCTGAAAAAAGCTTAAATTGGCAAAAGAACAGCTGAAAAGTATCTTAAAAAGCAGAAAGAAGCTGGAATGCAGAAGAAAGTGGAGAAAGCAAGTTTTTTGCTTAATTAGGCTGAAAAAGGTTGAAATGAGTGTAAAATGTGTGGAATTAGCTGAAAAAGCTAAAATTAGCCTAAAACAGCTAAATAGTAGCTGAAAAGGCAGAATTAAAAAAATAGCTTAAATGAGCATAACAAGCTGAAATTAGCAGAAAGAAGTTAGAAGAAGCACAAAAATGCTGTAATTAGCAGAAATAATCTGAAAGGAACCCAAAACAGCTGAAATTAGCTGAAAAAAAAAAGTTAACAGTAAATTTGGACCAGGAAGCTGAAAGAAGCCGAACCAGAACAAAATGTGAAAGGAGCAGTAAAAGGTTATAAACACATCTAAATACACTATATGCAGGATGTAAAATGAGCTCAATTCATTTTCTATGAGCAAAACAATTGCAGAAAAAGCTAAATATTTCAAAAAGCTAAAGTTGCACCAAAACCAAAAGTCATAACAAGATTGTCTTGAAAAGAGCTGAACGTTTTGATATTTGTTGAAATAGCACAGACAATTTGGAACGAGAAAGATGCTGAAAAACATATGGAAGAAAAATTGATCACAACATGTGAATTCTTCATAAACATTCACACAATAAGGGAAATATTACATTTTTAAATGCTTGGATGCACAAAACAAGTTTATAGAGCAATCTGGACTTTTTCATTCTCTCCAAATCAAATTATACCGATTCTGCTGCTTGTTCTTTTTGTTCGGCTGCAGATCTTTTGAACATTCATGAGCATTTTAAACTCCTTTCACGGCGGAACTGGTTCTTGTTTCTGGCTTATACTCCAAATGTTTTTCTGATCTAGCGCCGCTCCACGCAGCCAAACCAGAGGAATAATATTCTGCCACACAGTTCAGTCCAAATAAGCTTAAGTGGTTCTGCGCGGTTTGATTCTGTCCAAACATGCTTCTGAATCAATTTTTCACAAGAATTCCCAAACACATGCTGGACCAGTGGGGACATTTCAGGCGTACTTATGTGACAAGATGAGAGCCTCATTGCTCAGCCTCAGTTAACGTTCGTCTCAGAAAATATATATTAAAAATATAATTTTTTTATGTATTTAAGGACATTTTAAAAAGACTGTATTGTGCATAGATTATTTCCTAATCTCATGTTAATTATTTGATTTAAAAAAATCTTAATTTGACAAATCTCCAAGGTGGCATGTTTAGTAGAGAGATTGGATGCAGGAATGCAGACTAACACAAGTAGCTTAAAAATTACTTCTATTTTTTTTTTCAGCTTTTCCCTCACAGCAAGTCATCCTCCATCTCTGTCCTCTGCATCCTCTGTCCTCACTCCATCTACCTCCATGTCCTCTCTAACTGCATCCATATATCTTCTCTTTGTCTTTTTCCTGGCAGCTGCATTTCTAACATCCTTCTACCAATATACCCACTGTCCCTCCTCTGGACATGTCCAAACCATCTCAATCTGGCCTCTAACTTTATCTCCTAGAGCCTAAAAGCTAAAAGGTGTAATAATCAGAAAATAATACAAAACAAAAATCTGTCATGGCAGCTACAAAACAACAAACGTGGAGGAAAACGAGACAGGGCATGAAGCACAATGATCAACTGCAGAGAAGTGACGACTGAGAGACTATCTGGACCGGGGCTGATGAGGATATTAGAGACAAGTGGCTTAATGATAACGGAGAACAGGTGCACATGGAAGGACTGAGCAGCAGATGATGGAGGAAAGATATTGATGGTGAATAAAACACTGTGGCAAATGGAAAGTACAGAAAGTAAACATTACAAAGAATAAACAAGATAAATAAATAAACCAGTAAAGAAAGAAGCACAGATTCGGACACAGTTCAGGTGTTTGCACAAGAATGTTTGCACCATTCTTCTGTACAAAGGATAACGTGTTTGTGCTTGTG